GGGGGAGGGTTAAAGGCGCTACCCACCCCGAGGAGAAGGGGGGGGGGGGGCGCTGGGTGGGTTTGATTATCTAAGAATTAACCAAATCAACAAAAAAGGAGGCATCAAAGCATTAAAAATTAAGCAAGAGAATTTAAATGGAGGTGTGCATGTCAAATGTTGTGTGATTGTAAAATTCTTGCTAAGTCAAGGGAATGTATATAAAACTCGTGAAGTGCTGGACAGTTAAACAAACCAAAAATTCATGTCACTGTAATGAAGATGCTGAGATCGACAAGTGGTCAGAGAAGAGAAAGAGAACACGATCATCCAAGAATCAACCAAGGATATAGTCACATATAGCCTTAGATAAGGTGAAATATAGGCGATAAGCGCACTAGCTAAACCCAATTAATTGGGACAATCTTGTTGAGTTTAATTAAGCTGAATTATGATAACTGCTCTTATCCAAAAAATGCAATCAAATTAGAACAAATGACAAGATGACAAAACCAGAAATGCTAAGCCAACCTATACTCAGGTGCAGAAGCTTGATTTGACCGATGAGTTCTTCCAAATTGTTGAATGGCTCGGTCTGCACTCCAAGGTAATTCTAAAGTTAAATGAACTCTTCTTCTCTGGCATTAAAACAACAAAAAGTCAATTGGCAAGAATGAACAAACAAGCCAACTTGAAGAGAAGTCTGTGTACCATATTGTATTTAAGAGTTCTCTCTTCGCTTAAATCATTAGTGGACAGAAGCATTCAACTTTAAATACCATGATGACTTCATACAATGAAGCAATCAAATTATACCTGATTTACTGCTCTTCTATCCGCTTGCAAAGAAACGCCAGCAGATCCAGCTTCAGAAATGATAGCGACCAGCTTTTTATCATCCATGAAGAGTTGTTTCTCATGCATATTGACCATTTCCATGGTTACTTCCTTGCTAAAGAAGCAGAAGAAATTTTAATTTAGCCACCACAAAATAAATCAAGTGTTATTTAAGTGGAAAAAAAATGCCTAAACTCACGTGTTCCGTGCCTGATAAGTGACACCTTTTCCATCAGAGGTCCTAACGAGCATGCGTCGCCTCCCTGTAATTTCTGCAACTTTATCAGGCCCTCCAAGCTGCACAAACATTACAAGTCATTATAAGAAAGAGCCTAAGCAGAAATATATATTCAATGTGAAAGCTTTACCACAAAATGGACACTAGTGCCCAGGGGGGAGAGAGAGAGAGAGAGAAACCAGATCCTTCTGCAGTTACCTGATCAATAATGTCATCCAATGGGTTGTTCGGAAGATCCAAATTACGAATTATCTCAAGAATTTTCGATTTGCGCTCCATAGCTCCTTCATACCTATCATCATGTTTATATTAATCATATTAAAATTTCTACAATATGTTGATTGAGGGGGGAAAAATGCCACCAACACTGCATGCCAAACAGCTGAAAATTAAAAATAATACATTTCACCACATAAGAAAAGATAAACCACAAGGGAAATGATCATTCAGCTAAAAGGTCATACAGTCATTTAATTAAATTTAGAAAAAAGCCACTTCCATTTGTTATTCTTTTTTTTTTTTGGATCTCTTCCGGAGCCACTTCAGCTACCAATAATGCTTTGTCCTTGCCTTTTTTGCTCCTTATGCCATTATCAATTTACTTTACTGCCATTTCTCTATAACATTCAAACATTTAAATTAAATATTAAAATGTATTTCTTTGGGGTTAAGTGGATCTTGAGGAAATTTACATAGTTACCTACATAATTGGCTAAAATTTTCAAAAGAGCAATGTTATACATAATCCCATGTCTTATCTCCTTTTCTCACTCCTAGACACAAAATAATCATTTTCTCACTCCTAGACACAAAATAATGGGGCCCACATTCATAAATGCATATGAGACCCAGTCACTTGTGTCTTGGAGTGAAAAAATGAGATAAAAAATAGGATTATATGTAGCATTTTCCTTCTCAAAATGTTATAGCACAACACTACTAAATCTACATATATCATGTAACAATAAGAAAAAGTGCAGTTGGTGGACAGAAGTAATTTCTACAGCTAATCTGCAAATTGTGGCTGTTGTGCATCACACATTCATCGTGAGCAGCAGAGGAAGGGACACTAGCTATGTAAATGAGAGAAATGTATACAATGCAACCTTTTTTTTAAGTATACCATGCACCCTCTGTCCCCACAAAATATCCCTTAACAAAAGGAGAAAAAGAGATTGATATGGAAAAACTAATTTCCACCTTCCTCGGGAGACCTTCACAAGTTTAGTGTGGATGGAAATGTATGAAGCACGGACACTTCAAAATAGGTGTCGTAGTAGTTTTGGACACGGGGACACGTATAGGACACGCCAAATGGCATGTCCCTTTAATTTTATTATTTTTTTAAAGGGGACACGGCAAGGACACGCCATTGTAAATTTTATTTTATTTTTTTTGCAGGGGAGGGACATGCCGGGGACACGCGTGTCCAAATATGGATAATCTATTAATTTGCTTAAATTTAGTGGTTTTTATATTATATATATATTGAATTAATGTTAATTTTTATTAAATTTGATTGTTTGGTAACATAATATTAATCTACATAGCAAATATATATAAATAAAAAAATAAAAGAATTGCCGAGTCCCCCGTCGTGTCTGTGTCCCAATTTTTTTGAAATCACCGTGTCCATGTTTGTGTCCGTATCCGTGTCCGTGTCCGTGCTTCATAGGTCTATGGCCCTTTTTAAATGACTACTGAGCTTTCATCTCTTTCTATCTTTGTTGAACTTGTACAAGTACAGATGGTTTCATGGAGTAAATCCAGATGACATTTACACAGGGGTGGCATTGGCATCCATTAATTTTAAAGGTGTTCTCTACTTTATGTGCAAATGGTAACCTTATATGGCAATCTAAATAATTTTGACATATCAATTGATTGAGGCCCTCTGTGAATAATTACTCTTTGTAGTTTATACTTGATTAGGATCTGCAATACATAGTTCTATTGTCTTGTCTTTCTTCTCAAATGAATGTGAGGCATAGACATTTTGGATCAATGCTTGCTTTCAAATTAGGGATCTGTCCATTGTAAATGTTATTAGAGATTTACATCTATTTGAGTGCCTTGGATTATTACACTCCCCATCAGTAAACTGTATGGATAGTTCATATATCAATAAATATTTTTCCAGAATCCAGCCATGAGGTTGGTTGTTTTGTTTCTGTTATCTTGTTCGAAGACACTTTGTCTACACAAATGGCAATTGTTTGTTCATGTGCTGTGGAACTGTCATTTCTTCACTGCTCTGAAAATTTAATAGATGATGAGTTGTATGTTATTTTGTATTTTGTGTAATCCATTCCTTCTTGAATTTTCTTCCGAATTTGTTATATTATATAGCTGATCCCAAACTTATGGACATGTCCTTTTACATCAACCTTCTCAGTTTTCATTTTTCAGCACTTACAGGTTAGAATTATGGTTCATCTATACTTGGCTTGGTGTAATTGTATCAACTTTTATTTTCTATTTTGTTCAATTAGGGATGGTCCATTATTGGTGGTTGCATCAGGCTGGGATACTATCTCTGTTGCAAGTCACATAAAACGGTTAGCTCCGGAAAAAGTTTTTGTTGTTCAGGTTTGAGAGGAGAACTTAAATTTGAAAGTATGACTCTCAGCATTATGTATACTGAAATATGAAAATGTAAAAGTAACTAATGCTAAATATCAATTTATGTGGCATACATATAAGTTGGTGTGGTCATGATTACATGATTCTAAAATAACTTTCTTATTGGTTTTTTAGATGCTTGTTGCTTATTACCTCCCGTGTGAGTATTGGAGGCATTAGTCTTGAGTTATAGCTTAGGTTATTCAACGAACTTCATTTTAAACATTGTAAAGAAATTCCATTTTATATTCACTTGCTACTGTTTGCTTTTTGGAAAAAGAATGTAATGTTACTGGGCAATGTTGCAGAATTTTGGCAATAAACTCATTATGGCAAAATCATTTTACATTTTGTTTATCTGCCATTGATTATTTTATTTATGTATGCAATTATTGGTTCATACAGTTAATTCTTTTGCAATATGTTTAGATACAGCATCCCAGATCACAGCTAAATCGGTTCAATCTGGTGATTACTCCTCGCCATGATTATTACCCATTAACTCCTGAAGGACAGGAACAGATCCCATGGTTTCTTCGGAGGTGGATAACTCCTCGTGAACCTCCTGACAGACATGTGGTATGTTTCTTGGCTATAAAACATTTGCCTCAGTGAGTTCACTCATTTAAAAAACTTCGGTGGATGTTAACTGTCATTTACATGCAAGTGCTGCAAACATATAAGAAGCTCACTGCTTTTAAAAACTGAACCTCAGGTCCTCACTGTGGGAGCTCTTCATCAGGCTGACTCTACCGCTTTACAGGTTGCTGCTTGTGCCTGGCATGATGAGTTGGCTCCTTTGCTGAAACCCTTGCTTGTGGTTAACATTGGAGGGCCTACAAGTAATTTGTGCAATTAAAACTTTAATGGTTACTACTCATTTATGTTTCTATCTAAGAGGCTGATTATGTTAGAACTCTATGCTTCCTGATGTTAAATGATTGATGCTTAATAAATTATGAATTGTAAAATATATAATTTTCCAAGCTGGAAACATCTGGTGGAAGGAGATTCACCACATGCTTATAATATAGGGCAAACTTCATTTTACACCTTGTGATTTGGGCTATGTACGGTTTACCCCCCTAACGTTTGGAAATGACCACATAAACTCCATGTGGTTTGTGGACCAAATTGCAGTGTCCACTTTTCCATCTAATTAACTAGATGTGAGGTTCACACGCTCATGAAGAGAGTGAGCTATATTTTAAGATCAGAATACCCCTTGCATATCTTTAAATTTACAAAAGCATGCTGTGGGTGCCGTGCCTTTTTTGAGTCTAAGGCATGCATCCCACACCAACAACAAAGAGTCACCACTTAATTTTTAAAGGGGAATTAAGAAAACTTTAACAATGAAAACTAAGTTAAGGATCAATCCATCACAACCAAGAATAATTCGGATTTAGGAGCTTAGGTAGAAGAGGAGAAGGTTATTGAATGATAGCATCCCCTCTTGCCCAATCCGAAGATTGGCCTCTACTCAGTTTCTATTTTATGATTTTAGTAGTTAATTATTCACACAAGTTCATTTTAAGCCTAAAAACCTTTAACACGAGTTTATTTTAAGCCTAAAAACCTTTAACTAATCCTAAAACTATGTGATCTGAATAAAAAGTGAATATCAACCATCTTAGATTGAAAGAACAATGCCATACTTCTTAAAAGTGAAGATTTTCCATTAAAAAGGATATTTTAATTTATTTTATGGCAATGAACTCAAACTAAGATAGGCAGTATTCACAAAAACATTCAAAACATACAATTTTGCATAGAAAACATTTAACTTGCATTATTTAAAAGATGATGCAAGAAGCAAACACATGCTAAGGAGGGAGAGAGGACTTACCCGATCGTCCACTTTCAGCGTCTTTCATGCAATGCATAAAGTAAATATGACCTACAATGCAACTAACACATACAAGATGCAACCTAGGCCCGGTTTGAAGCTACTATATGATGAATATGCACAAAAGGAGCAACTAACAAATGAAAACAAAATATAAACTAAACGACATAATGATTCAAACCGGGCCATGCATGCTGATTATATGATTAAAATAGACTTAAGAACATGTTGTTCTAACAAGATAAATAAAGCATGCAACAGAGGCGAGAAAGTGAATAAACCAAATGACTACATGATGGCCTAACACCCTAGCATGAAGGAATACTAAAAAGTAAAGCCTACAGATACTGAAATATAAAAGGTAAAGTGTTTTTACTTGCTAGTTTCCTTAAATTGAAGAAAACACGAAGAAGGTAGCTAGAGAAGTCGAGTTCCTTGCTTGCAAGCCTCCCTCAAGCTTGGATTCTGAGTTAGGGTTCAAGTTCTTCTGTCCTTGGGGGTGTTTTTCAGAGGTTTTGGAGTTGCTGTAGGGTTGTGTGTTTTAGAGCTAAGGAAAAGGGGGAGAGAAAGTGGGTGGTTTTGGTCTTAAAAGCTCACAAAAGTTCAAATTTCACAACCCCCTTGAAAGGGAGGGGGAGGGGCTCCTTATATAGGCTTGAGGGGGCGCGGGGAGCAAGCTAGGGCAACCCCCATCGCTTCCTGTCACGACCCAAACCTGCCCTAAAAGTTTGGACATGACCGGCCTCATCCGAGGTCTAGACTTAGTTATTTTAAATGTCATTAAACCTCGGGGCCTAAATGAACGCGAAATAAAAAAAAAAAGAATAAACATTCATTGAGCAGTGTCTAAATGCCAGGATCACGCCGCGTTACCATACATACATAACATTCCATGTGTCATACACAAAAGATCCATTTGAAAGTTAAGTATTAACAATATCTACATACATATCCTTTGTTCCCAAAATTAATAACACATGCGCTCATATGGATTTCCAAAACATAACAAAAGAGTCATTTTGGGTGACTCAGTGAAACGGGTTCAGTTACAGGCTTCTGGCTGACCTAGGGTTGACCCGCAAGCTGGTTACCTACAAAACATCTAGGAAAGTAGAGTGAGCAGGGCTCAGTGAATGATAGCAGTACAGATAAATTAAAAGTACGAACATGAGTCAATATTGCATATTCACAATTCGTAATCCCACTCATTTTTCCCATTTCTGAACGGCCTTGGGCCCATATTGTACAGAACGACCTTAGGCCCAATAGAATACAAAACGGCCTTAAGCCCAACAGAATACAAAACGGTCTTAGGCCCATCATAGCAACAAAACGGAACGATTTTGGGTCCATAATACACATGCCAAAGGTCAACATATATCAACATATTTCATGCAGCATAAGGCATTCACTAAGGAGTGAATAGGATCTTAAACAATATGTGCATAACGTAATACGTGAACAGAACATCATACTATGCTACTACCACTCACTGTGATGCGGGTGAACGCTGGTTCCCTCCTGCGGATGCCCTACACACAGCACATAAGTCATAAGCACATCATTATTCTTAGTTTCCTTTCAATTCTCATTTATTCGATTCGTTACGTTACATGTAATTAAATACATTCTAGTAACATCAAATGGACATAACAACACATTTAGAGGGTCGAGAAGAGCGAAAGAAAGTTCCGGAATTTTTTAGCCTGTGTCGCACGTGCGGGAAAGTGCGCCACACGTGCCTTTTCAGCAGAATGCTCCTAATCTTCTCCCCTGTTTTCCGCACATGCGGCTGTGAGCGCCGCACGTGCGGCTGTGCCTCCAGCACATGAGGCCATGGGCCCGGCACGTGCGGTCGTTTACCCTGTTTTTCTGTCCGAAACTTCAACCATCCCAAGTGCTCAAGGGGTAGTCATATAGCCACATTCAAGGTAAATGCACATCAAAAAATATAGCATATAAACCTATAAACATGTAATTTTTGCTCTTTGGCTTTCACACCTCAAAATTTCCATGATTCCTTTACTCATCTAGTGTAGATATACATGTACAATGCCTAGCTATTCATTTATATGAATTCAAACATACAAAAGAGTGAGATTAGGCAAGACAGAGAAATCAAGTGACTAAGTTTCCCATTCCGACACATTCAAAAGGTACATGGTCTTTATGAGATTTCATCATAACCCTAGCTTTCATGGAGGTAAGATACTCCAAATCAAAGCTTAATTCAACCAATTGGAGAGGAATTGAGGGTTTACTAATGATCTAAACTCACCTTAAGTTGGATTCTTCAATTGGTCCTAGCAAATTCTTTAATCTCCAACTCTTGTTGACTTTCCTCTTCTCCCTTTCTTTCTCTCTTCCTCAAGGTCTCTAGATTTTCCACTCAACATATATGTAAAGAAATGAGTTCAGGAAAGACTTATATAACACATATAGGTCTTTGGCTTCTAACCTTGCCAAACGAGCCTTAGCGAATCAGACAAAATAAATTTTCAATTAAACCTCCCAGGTAGCTTTAAAAATTCCCACTAGCAGGGTCACATGCTCAATTTTAGTTACTACGCCTTTTCGGCCTTAAATTTCCAAGTCAACATTTTAATTTTAACAGATGTGTTCCAATAATCAACAGATAAAAAAACATAATCAAATAATTCATTCGTATAAGCATAACTCTACATGGGATTTCACATTAAACATGTAATTTCTCATGGAACTAGGGATATAAGGCATACAAGAGGGTCGGGTTATTACACTTCCTCTGCCGCCTCCCTTAAAAAATGCACAAAGATTGAGTTTCTAAAAACAACTTTGTCATGCTTGGATATGTGCATGCACCATTCTTGTGCGCATGCACGAGGCAAGTGTGCACGCACCCTTTGCTATGGTACACGTGTCATCCCTGTATGCATTCCATGATCTTGGCTTGCTTGTGGCCCAAGTAAGTCGGTATTGCCTTCTGATTAATGTTTTAATAAAATGAGTTACTAATTTTGAAAAATACGTTTGATCAAAGGAAAACCAGGCTTTCCTCTCTTTCTCGGGTTAAGAAATTGATTTTTTGGCTAAAAACGGGTTCAGGGACAAAATGGTCATTTTTATAAAAAGTCTGTTTTTGGCCAAAACGGGTTTATAGAGAAACTCTAGACATCCTTAATCATTCTAAAGATGAAGTTAAGTACAATTTCATCATCGGGAGGCTTGCAAGCATCGGAAGTCTTAGAGTCAGTCAAAATGGGGTGTCTACACATGTCATTCTTCTTCCTCCTCTCTACTATTTCTTTTTCTATTCCTTAACTCCAACCCATTGTACCACACCATCTTCCTCTTCCCTTATAACTCTAAAATTACTAACTTACCATTCCTCTACCTCTCATCATTTCTTCCACTTCCACTTGTGCCCTCCATTTTCAGACTAAAAATACAAAAAATCCAAAGAAAGCCTTGCTCTTTATTTCATCTTTTTCCCCCAACTCAACAATTCGCAAGTCAACCACTTTTCCCGCTATCAGCACCACCTTATCTTTATCATCCCTCTCATCCTCTCTCTCTCCATTTGTCATCACTATATAGTGCTCTACCAATCCCTTCAATTTTTGCTTGAGCAAAGCTTTCATGAGGTCTCCAAGTTGATGCCTCTGTACAATGGTCTGGAAATACAATTCAAATAATGAATTTATCAATTGTTTACCACGCTCTATTATGGTTTTTCATTAACAATTATTATCTTAGCTTAGGCTCTCCTTTTTCTGCTGTTCTGTTGACAAATTTTTATGCTTTGATTTGGTTTAAAAAATTTGTACTTTTGGAAAAAAAATCTTGATACATACAAATATATTTACATCAAGATTTTGTATATACCAATATTTTGTATATATCAAGATCGAATCTGCTGTATTTTTCTTTGGAGGCTGGAGCTTTGCGATGCTCCAAGAAGCTATGATAGCATGGGTTTGATTGTTGGCGCCATTGACATTGTCGGAAACAGCTTGGGCAAAATCATCCCTTTCTCCGACACCCCTGGTGGCCCATAATAATTTCTGAGTATATACTAGTGGATAATATATATGCATTTACTGTTGATGAATGGTGAGAATGGGCCACTGATTTTTTTGGTGCAAAGATGTGTGTGCCGCTTGGGTTTCTTGCAGAAGTTGGTATGAAATTTGTTGGAGTTGGCAGCATGGAAGGAAGAAAAAAGAAAATAGGTGTCTGTGTGTATTGCAGGTTTAATTCGAAAGAGAGAAAAGGAAGAAGATGAGGGCATAAAGGTCAATTCACATGTTCGGTTAACAGAAGTTAGTGTGCACTTTGGTCCACAAACTATATGGGGGTTATGTGGTCATTTCTAAACATTAGGGGGGTAAACCGCACATGGGCCAAACCAATGGGGTTAAAGTGAAGTTTGCTCTATAATATATAAAATTTCTCTTTTAGCACCATTGTTTTCCTACATTGGGTATTCAGTTTTTTGTGTGGACTTACAATGGGTAAGGGTATTTTAAGTTGATGCCTCTCATGTTTGCATCAAATGATCGAAGAGAAAGTTTTGGGTTTTAGCCTTTTATAGGGTATAATTGGCCTAATGTGGGTATTAGTCTTTGTTTTAGCTAAACAATATTCAAGGTGTATTTTGCATCTCTATTTTGATACCGTGTCCTTTTTTCCTCCTTCCACGACTTTTGTTTGCTTCTGATATTGAGTTAGACCTGTTAATGGGAATTGGTGGTCCTGACGACAGAAAAGAGTCTAAAAGTAACTCAGAGTGGATGAGGTTGTTCAAACTCTGAAGTCTGTTTTGTTGCATAGAACTAACTTCTCTGATGCAGTTGGCATTTAAGATTGTTCAAGGTTTTATTTTTTTCATTTTTTAGATAATAAGATTGTTCAAGCTATAGGGTTTTGTTTTTGGGATCACATTGTTCAAACTTTAGGGTCTGTTCACTTTTTTATTGTATGCATTGGTTTATAATTTAAATTTATTAGTATATTTATATCCATGTATGAGTGCCTTTCTGAATTACTCAAAATCTTTTTTGTATGTTACTACTCTGGTCTTTGCACAACCTGAAAAAAGAAAAAAAGATAGAATTGCAGTAATTGATATTCAAAGATCCTAAAATTTTCCTTCTCCTTTATTTGTTTATTTAGGTTAAATCTTGCAAGGTGCATGAACGTAGTTCCTTTTTAACTTGAAACTGCTTATATTATCATATAGGATCCCCTCTCATGCTTGTACATAATTACATTAGTATTTAAAAAGTATATTGTAACATTGCTATTGCAAATCTGCTTCTATGATGAATTTACTCGTGGCTTGCCTGAAAAAGCTTCAATTTTAGTTAAAACTGGTTTTCTGTGTTAGTGCTTATCATTCTCTAAGTCAAATATGATTTCATACTTGCAATAGTTTATTCTTTATCGGAAGAAAAATCACATATAAGTATTCTTTTTATTCACTTCTCCCAGTTGATCCTGTATCATTGGTTAATAACAACACTTCCATAATTTATATTTATGTTGTATTTATGTTGTTATTGTAGAACATTGTCAATATGGTGCAGACCTTGCAAAACAGTTGACAGCTTCCCTGAAGAATGTTCGTTGGAGTTTTGGAAGCCTCAGAATATCTTTCTCGAGAAGAACTCCACAGGAGGTGTGCATATTTATAGTAATTTCTTTTTATCTTAATGGAAATGGGGGGCTATTGTTTGTGCATTCTGTGATCAACAGGTATCTGAAATCTTAGAGAAGGAATTTAGTTATCATCCTAAAGTTTACATTTGGGATGGCAAAGGTATATTCAATTCTTAGTATCATCTGAAGGCTTTTTGGAGCGCATTTTTTTGAATTTTTAAGTTCATACAATGTTTGCATAATTTATACTGGTTAGATCCAAATCCTCACATGGGGCATCTTGCTTGGGCCGATGCTTTCATAATCACAGCTGATTCAGTTAGTATGTTGAGTGAGGCTTGCAGTACTGGGTATGTTTGAACTAGTGATACTTCTTCAACATTTTTAATTTGATTTTTCTCCCAATTGAAATGTTAATAATTTATGCTGCAGAAAGCCTGTTTATGTTATTGGAGCAGAGCGATGTACATGGAAGTTTGCGGACTTCCACAAATCTCTGCAGGAACGAGGAGTGGTGCGACCATTCACGGGTAAAGAAGATGTGAGTTCCATACAAAGTCCAAAGTTCTCTATTTATCTTGTAATGCAATTATAGTAACTGCTGCACAATCAAATTATGCCATTAGTACTGCGGTGGTTGATGTTGAACAAAACCAATCTCTCCATTAAAATATCATATTGTGGTTTGATTGTGCAGATATCAGAAAGATGGAGCTGTCCTCCACTGAATGACACTGCAGAGGCATCTTTCCGGGTGATTGAAGCACTTTCTGAGCATGGATGGAGATTGGAACCTTGATAAGTCGGTTCCACTTCAGGTCTATACGGTGTTTGAAACTACTCCCTTTGTCTCATTTTAAGTTTGTAAGGTGTGCTTGGTTCATTTGGCTTGGTTTTCACATAGTTGCTTGGTTTGGTGTTACTTGGCATTTGATTTCTTCATAATTTTTTCCCCTTTTTTTTCATTTTTCAGAAAAGAAAAGTTTGGTAGGGCAGCCTTGCATGCAAAATGGAAGTATATAACTCTCATATTACATTCCTATATATTTATATTGGCGAGGGGGATTAACACAATCAATAAGAAATGAATTGATATTTGTAAAACAAAATGGCGAGAAAACACAATAATTTTGTTTCTTTTCTATCTATACGAACAGTGGCGGACGCATAAATTTTGGTAAGAGGGGGCCAAACTATGTACAACAAAAATTGACTACAAAATTTATTTTATCACATTATTATAAAAGTTTTGCACGTATATGTTGTACTAAAATATTTATTTTTATAAGTATACAAATTAAACATCATTTTTAAATTTGCAAATAATATTTTCAGTCAATAGGCATTTACAAAACAAAAAGTACAAAAACAAAATTATAAATTTTTGTTATAATTTATACCAAATATAAGATCAAAAAACTAATAATAGATAAGTACTTTTCACATTGATTGTGGTTGTAACTAACATTAATTAAAGCCAAAATTGAAGGTGTCATTTTGGTCATAACCAAAATCACTATAATGAGTCCTATCGAATATTATTTTGAAACATAATCAAATATTAGAATGAGACGTAATTAATTTTAATTTTATAATTTGTTAACTCGATCACCATAATGGCCTATATAACCAAACACTATAATAATTCGTAACATCAATTTAAATCATAAATTATATATGATATATATCATGTATTATAGCATGGTTTTAATTCAAAGCTTTAAATAAATTGACAAAGTCAGGACTTGAGTGGAGGAATTAACTCTTTTTATCATTTATAAATTAATAATAAATCCACATATAGTAGTTGAGGTTTTATAGATGGATGGAGGGGCGATGACCCCTTCTAGCCACCCCTGGATTCGCCAATGTCCACGAGAGAAATTACAAATTTATTTTATTTTTTCTCGTTCTTATAGTATGCATTTTTGCTATGGAAGTAACGTTCAGACAAGAGCAAAATTCTCCATTAGAGTTGTCAACCTCATCAAATGGAACCTAATTTGATATATAATCGCTTCTAATTGATATAGTGACTTTAATGTACACAACAATATTAATTTTCCGTTTGAGTAGATATAAAGAAAAGAATAAAGATTGGGACCCCCTTTCCCCTCACTCCCTTTGACCCCCATTCTTTTTTGATTGGTCACTTTTTTTTTTCTTTTTCTTTTTTTTTCTCCTCCTCCAATCACCACCCGCAACGTGTGTGTGGGTGGTGGGGGTTGAAGTTTGATGGAGTCTAAATCACTGCTGAAAAAATATATCATAATTTTATATTTTTTAAATCATAATTAAAAAAAAAATCATAATCAAATACTACATGTACCATAACTAAAGTAATGTCATAACTATTAAATAAAATTGTTCATAACTATTGAACAAAATGACATAATTTTTTTTAATAAAATTGAATGTCGTAACTATTGAATAAAATTGTTCATATGATAGGGAGTGTGTATGGTAGACTTCTCCTTTATTATTTTAGTAATTTTTGTAAAATTTGTAGTATTTTTGTTAGAAAAATACTATAAACCCTACTTAAGTATCTCAAATTTATTCCGAATGAGAATTGTGTGGTTGAGATTGGATTTATGTAGTGTAGAATCTATGCATAGAATAAATATGAATCATGAGATAATAATTTTGAATAATTTTTAAATAGTTAACTCTAAATTTATAGTATTGTTGTTTTTGTTATTTTTCATGGAACCAAAAATCGGGTTACTTAGGGATTTAGAAATGCACAACAACAATTATTGTGTGGGCATGTTTTGAGACTCATTTAGATTATCTGAATCATTCACATTTTACTATAGATCGACTAAAACTAGAGGTGCGACTTGGGCGGGCACAACCCAAGTAACCCGAACTCAGTTCGAATTTTTTTAGGGTTTGGACAAAATATTTTCAAATTCAGTACGAGCTTGAGCAAAAATTCAGAAGTCCGAATTAAATTTGAATGGGCTTAGGCAAAGACGTCAAACAACCCGAAACCTGAATTATACATATATAGATATATAAAAATATTAAATATACATATAAATTATTAGTCATTACATGATATTAGTAATTTAGATTATTAAATCATATTGAATATACATTATATACACAAATAACATAAAATATTACCTTTTTTATTTTTACTTATATATTGTAAAGACTAATATAGCGGTATCTCTCTTACATTATATAAATTATTTGTTTTGATGGTATTAATGATTTTCTATAATAAAAAAAAATGTAAGTATAGTCAAATTTTAATAATTTAATAATGTAGCTAAGAAAAAAAACAAAAAAAAATCTGAAATTCATTTACAATTCAGGTAACTTGAACAATTTAGGTTTAACTAGGGTTGGACTTGGGCAGGCATCCTCGAGTTACAATTCGGGCCTAGGCAGGTCTTAGCACAATTTGAGTTGGGCTTAGACAATCTTCAAACCCGACCGAACCCACTCAAGGTGCACTCCTAACTCAAACATACTTGAACATTTACTATACAAAGTTGATCGGATATCGATATCCTTTTTATCAAATCGCATTTTTATTTTGTTTTATACTTTAAATTACATTTACTACTCTCTCTTTTTTTTTTTTTTAGATGCAATATGATTTTATGATAGAAATACCGATGTACAACCAAATTGATTTTTTACAAACTTGTCCTTCTCCCTATCTACTCTAAAATGTAAATAATTCAAATATGAACTCCAAAATAACTCCAAAAGGTAAGGGATTTTTACGGGCCAGTCCTATTTTCAAGGGTTATTACCCAGCAAGTCCTTAATGAAGACTTTTTTACCTATAGGTCTTGAACATTTTTGTTTATTCCATTTCTGCCCCATGTTTTATATCTAGATCTGTGAGATGAAAGATGAAAAATGAAAAAAGAAAAAAGAAAAGAAGCTCTCTCTCTACACATTCCTCCATCAACGACCATTGCCATCTCCACCATTGCCGACCACCACTGCCTCTACTGTCGTCATTGGCCACGACCTCAACTGACATCTTCTTCCACTTTCACCGTTGTTTCCACCTCTACCGACGTCTTCGCCTCCATCGCCACCGACGTCTTTGCCTCCACTTCCACCGTCGTTGCCAACCACTGCCGCCTCCACCTCTATAGTCGTCGTCACCTCTATCTCTAGATCTAGGATCTAAGCTCTTTGTCACCGGGTCCTCTCTCTCTCTCTCTTCCTGTCTTTCTCTCTCTTTGTATACTGGGGAAGATCCTAATGATAAATCTATTTAAACCAGCGATAAATTTGTTTAAACTAATGCTAAATCAGTGAAAATTTTGTTTAAATCAGTGTTAAGTTTGTTTTTGTGAATTCATCACTGCATAAACCAGTAATAAGTTTGTTTTTGTGAATTTAGCACTATTTAAACCAGTGATAAGTTTGCTTTGTGAATTTATCACTGTTTAAATAAGTTTGTTTTTGTGAATTTATCACTGAAATTTTTGAGTTACAATGTCGAGTGTAGGGGTAAAAGTAGAAAACACTGTTTGAACCAGTGACAAATTTATCACTGTTGAATTTTTTGTAAATTTGTTTTTGTGAATTAGTAAGTGAGCGTATATGTATATGAGTATAAAATTTATCACTGATAAAATTTTATCAGTGATAAATTTATCACTACTAAATTATTGTGAATTTACTTTTGTGAATTAGTAAGTGTGTGGATGTGATTTTGTGAATTAGTAAATGAGTGTGTATGTATGTGAGTATGAGAGAACAAAAGGAACAATATTTAAGGAACAAAAGGAAGACAACATACAGGGGAGAGCTCGTGAGCAGCTTCTTTATTTCACGCATGTGGTGTGATATTGAAGGGTAAAATTGAAAACAGAAATAAGACAGGACTTGGCTGGTATTAATTTACTTCCACGGGACTGGCTGGTAAGTCCCCCAAAAATAAACGGTTTGAATTATTTATTTGGGCTCCAAAATAGGCCCAAAAGCCAGCACAACAATGCAGATCCAAACCCTTTAATTAGTAGTCTAGTCATGTATGACAAATCCAAAAATCCATTTGGAAGCTCAATATTGAATTAAAAAAACTGGATTTGTTATGAAACACTTATCCAAAAATTCATTTGAAAGCTGAATATTGAATTAAAAAAATTGGATTTGCTATGAAAACACTTAATTTTTTTTGGTTTAATGGAAAGAAATGAAATAATTAGAACTTAAGTTCATGTGTTTGGATATAAATTTTAGTAGAAATTTGAAAAAGAAAAACAAAAAAGGTAAATAAAATATAAATGAAATAGTTACATTTCATCCACATTTTCCTTTTACCTTTCAAAATTTCTACACAAGTTCATAATCCGATCATAGCATAATATCATTTCATTAGACTGTGTTTAGATCATGAATTTAGGTAGATATTTAGAAAGGTTAAAAAAAAATTAAAAAGAAACAAAGGTCAATGAAATGTAACTGAAATACAATTATATTTCATTCACATTTTACTTATATTTTTTTCTTTTTCCTTTTAAAATTTTCACCCAAAAAAGGCAAAAAATATATATATATATATACACATTTTTGGGTATCATATGATAATCTCTGTGTTTATATCCTACAGGTGAGTAGATTAATTGCAAAAATATTTATTTTCTTTATATATTTTCAAGATTTTTCTTGGTTTAAATCTAACAAAATTTCTAGCACCCATTGTTCATGATGAGGTAATGGATGAGACAAATATTGAACAAGTCATGATAGTGAAATTATTAAAAGAATAATCATACTATGATATTTGAAGGTATTTGATGTTTGAATGCTCACTATTCATGAGAAGGTAGGGGATGAGAAAAATATTGAATAGATCATAGTAGTAGAATTATTAAAAAAATAATCATATTATGATGTATTTTAAAGTGTTTGAATTTCGGAAGGTGTTTGGTTGTTTAGTAGATGTAGATTGTTATGTGATAAGCATTCTAGTGCAGAAGCAACAGCCACAGCTTCAGCTTCAGCTTCAGAAGTAGCTTCAGCTTCAGCAGCAGCTTCTGATATGGCTACTTCAACATTCAAGAACAGAGCTTCAACTGCAGTTCCATATAGTCAGTTAGGAATTGGTTAGCTAATTGTTAGGAGT